CAGAGGATAATGGATGGGTCGGGTGTGGCAGCCCCTGGACAGGGTCATGGATTGTGCCACGGTTCTGAGGCTAAGGATGGAGGACGGAGACCAGAGATGGGTGAGGTTCAGACCTGCTGAGCATGCCTGGGTGTGGGGCTGGAGCTCAGGTGAGATTTGGAGCCACAACAGAGCGAGCAGGAGCTCTGCAAGGCAGTGACAGCAAGGACCAAAGAGAGTCACTGGCAAGTAGAACCAGGATGAGTGAAGAAACAGGTTAAGTAGGGGATGAAAAGTGAATGGGGTCATAAGTAATTTATGGAATCTAAATCTCTTCTGTGGTTCAAAATCGCAGTGAAATCTCCCCTGAGAGACAAACCCTGGTGACAGCTGTACCTGCCCCTCGGCACCTCTTTCCCAGCTCCTCGACAGGGATGCAGCGGTGGGAAAATCCTCAGTCATCGACAGCCTTGACCTCTCCTTAATATCAGGGGAAACCGAGTCACAGAGAAGCCAGGTCCCTCCTGTCTGACAGTCCTTTCTAAAAACGGGCTGCAATTCACGACAAGCCATGAGAGTGATTCCACCCACCAGCCACAACAGTGCCCCTGTGGTTACATCGGTCTTACTTCCCGTGTGGCTCTGGTGTGGCCAAGGTGGTGGATTTTCTGTAAATCTGCTCATCTGGGTGGAGGTCCCAGAGGAAGCCCAGCCTGAGGGTCCAGAGTCCTGGCTTGGTGGCCCCAGGTCTACTGCCTGACAACGAGCGGTCGGTGGCAGAGGCCACCTCTCCTCCTCCCTGCCCCGCTCTTCCTAGTTGTCCCCTGAAGCCTCTGGCCTCTGCCATCTCCAACACCTCACACTCTGGATCTGTTTTTCCAGGGGTATCAGACCCTGGCTTGACTGCTGAGTGTTCATCTTTTGCATCTTCCCTGCCGTCTGTGTCTAGAGGTATCGGTCCTCAGGTCTCACTTACCTGGGACCGCGTAGGGATGCAAGGACATGCATGCCAAATATTATTTTGTAAAACAGGTCAGAAGGAGGTATCGGTCCTCAGGTCTCACTTACCTGGGACCGCGTAGGGATGCAAGGACATGCATGCCAAATATTATTTTGTAAAACATCATAGTCAGTCTAGACCTGCCTGTTTTGCCTGCGACAACTTTTCACCCAAAGAGGTGGAATTAAGTATTTAAGTTGGTTGCAGATAATCTATGAACTGAATTGCTCACCCAAGTAAACATGAACTTGACCACAGGCTGATTGCAGTCAAAAGGATCTGCTGTCACCCTGAGCAAGTTCTCCCACGTAACAATCGACAGAAATCCTGCACACCACTGTCACACCCACACACGGTACTCTCTGATATGTGACATTAAAAAACCTCAATCTCCTGAAAAAAAATCATAAAATAGTTTCAGTCTATAAGAACTGAGCGCAAGGTTTTGTTTAGTGAAACTTCTTTGATGATGCTGGTTCAAATATCTTCAAATATTGAGAAACACCCACAGACATCGTCCCCAGCTGTCAGAGTCACACAGTCTGCAGAGAGCAAGAGGGAAGCCGTAACCCTGCTGAATGTCACTGGAGATCGTTTCAGGACACCGTGGGCTATCTTTACCCTCTCCCACCTGCAACTGTTAGTTTCCAACCAAATGTTCCAGAGGAGCCAGCCTGGGGCAGCGTGAGAGTCGGGCAGGAGGAGGAGGAGCAGGCTCTGGGCAGCATCTCCTGCTGCCCTCTCACTACAGACATGAAGAAGCTCAGAGGCATCCCACATGGTGGGGGCCACAGGGACCGCTCCACGCGGAACTGGAGGTCTGGTCTCCCGCGCCGGCCCCACGCTCCGCCCTCCCTACCCCGCGCCCCCTCTGGGACTCGCACCGAACCTCCACGCGGGGCTCGTCGGCAGGACCAAGCGGCCCACAGGAGTTGGTTCAGCCCACAGAGGGCAAACGGAGGAGAGATGAACAGCAAGGGGAGAACATGGAGAAACAAGGAGGAGGAGGTGGCGGGAGAAAACACTGGATGGAATGGGAAGAAAAAGTCCAAGGCTCCATGTCCCCGTCACCTTGACTAGTGACTGGAGTAGAGGTGAATGTCTGGGGCTCAAGAGCTGCCTCAAGGTCACAGCAACACAGCCTGTACCTGGAAGGAAAGGTCCCTGGGGAACGGCCCTCAGGGGCAAGGAAATGGGAGCTCCATGTGGGAAAATCTCAAAATACCAAGAATGGATGTGCCTGAACTGATGGCATTCAAAGTCGGTGTATTAGACTCTGGGGGACCAGCGCTCCCAGGCGAACCCAGTGTTGCATATCAGTGCTTCTTTAGGATAAGATCAACATCACTGAAAGTTAAAAAAAAAAAAGGCAGACCAAAAATATCAGGTCTTAGGCAAATGAGTTGAAAATCCCTTCTAGTGACACCCTATTTTTTCCACCCATTTCTAAAGTCAGAGGACACCTGGTATGGTATTTAGCTAAAGAAATGCAATTCCTGGTCCATGCGGTTTCCTGACAGTACAGCACTGAAATGACATCACGGAAATGCAGATGCCTTTAGGTCTAAGTACAGTTTCTAGGTGAAAATGTGAGTCTTAGTCACTGGTGGAAAAGGGTGTGTGTACCTTTGTGATTTGCTGGTATCTTCTGCTTTCTGCCTTCAAAGACTACGTTGTAATTAAATGCGTGCAGGCTGCTGGCCAGCTTTCCCAGGCTTTGGCTCACCTAGATGTGCAGCCGAAATGTAGGTTAGATCATACCCCTGCTCCTTTGCCATTTGGAAGGAAATTAAGCAATGGTTACCAAGAAAAAAAAAAGAAGTCTGTCTCCCACTCAAGGGCAAGGACTCTGTGCCCTAAGATGCCCTTTCCTGTGGTTCACAAGAACAGTCTCATTTGTGAATCGTGCCCCACGGCGACGGAAGTGAGGATGTAGCAGACACCCAAGGTATGGAATCCTTTGTCTTAATTAAAAAGTATGGTGAGAGCCATGGAATTTGGCCAAGCCTCATAAATCTGCTCAAAGAATCCAGCCTCTGTCAGATAAGCTTAAAGAGAACCAAGTGAGCCCTCTGGAGAATTAAAGAGATTCCCGGCTCTTCGCAGACGCCCACTCTCCCGTCGCTTTGCTGTGCTCCGCGGACGACGGCGGTGCTCATTAGCCAGCAACCTTCCTACCCGCCGATGACAAGTTTATCCCCCAGGAGCACAAAACTCAGAGATGATAAATTTACCCCTGCTTGTAAAAATGAAACTCCCCTCAGGGCAATAAAAATGCTGCGAGCCTGTAAGGAAATCTGTGCTTTGTGTCATATCGTACCTTCTTCAACAGAGCCTGGTCCTCTTGGTCGGGGCAGCTCCTCACAGCCAGGGAGAACTGCTCTAAGGTAACTGCAAAGGAAGAAATGGGGAGAATGAATGACCTCCCTTTGGACCCCCAGCCCCTCTGGTGGGGGGGAGGACACCATGGTGACAACAGATACAGGTGGGGTGCTATTGGTCTTGTCTTGGTGATAAGTTCAAGGAGGGCAGAGCCTGCCCCAGGAGGGCAGGGCCAACACACAGTGACTTCTCCACCACCATTGACCAGGATGATCACATCAGAGCACGCAGCCATCACCATCAGCAAAACTCCGTCCTAAACTGCGGGAGGTCCTGGGTTCAGCCAGTATACGGCCCATCCTGTCCCCCATGACCACACTCTTTGTCCCTTTCCTGTGACCAGCATCTAGAGGACTCCCCCTGCCTTGGTAAATCTGGCAGTGCTAAACTTTCTATCTCAGTTTTCCATCGTGATCCCAATGGCTTTGAGTCTTCTCTTGGTATGAATGATGGGGCCCCGGTGTTGATTCAAGCCAGCGCCACCAACTCCCCCAGATACTTCAGGTCAACTTCCCCAACCATCTTTCTCCAACAGAATGGTGGAGAGAAACCAAGAAGGTCTGCAAAACATATTTTAACCATCCATTTTAATGGCCATGAACGCTCCAGGAATATTAACTAGACAACCTACACAAATCATACACCTCTATACAGGTGACCCAGAGCTCTCATTAAGGCCCACTCCTGCGAGCACCCCTTTCTATGTTGGTCTAAATCAGCACAAAAGCACAGCTGCCTTCCATGCATGCTGTTTTGACCCTATTGTTTCACTCTCGAAAATGCTCCCATGATTCCCTGCTGCCCTCAGATTTAAACCCACTTCTTTCGACGGGTACTAAGGCTTTACCTTAGTGAACTCGAGAAACTGAGCCTCTTATTTCCAGACTCAAAGCTGCTTTCAGTCTTTCCCTTCACCGCTGTCTGCTGGGCTGTCTCACCTCTTGCCTTGGAGCACAGCATAGCTCACCCCTCCCGACCAACCACCCAAAGCCATGAGCATCCTCCGCGTCCAACCCGCCCTCCTCCACAGAGCCCACAGAGACGCGGAGCGCCAGCCCCGGGACCGAGGGGCAGTCTGCTTCTGTTGTGACCCCAAGGTCTGGATGTCATGTTCACAAATGCAGATATTTTAAAGAGAATTAGATTAGCACAAATGAATCAAGAAAGTATTGTCTGGGATTTTTTTTTAAAATAGTTTTCAATGTTACCTGTAAAATACAATTCTTTAGAGCGTTTTCATCTATGACCGAACTACTCTGTAGTCTTGACTGTTGTCAGTTGTATGCTGTCCTGATTTTTAATTCCAAGTCCCAGGCTCGTCACCATCCACCTGCCCGAGGGCATTGTGTTCACATCTCATTCCCACCACTATGCTGCAAAGCATCCCTGTACTCCTGGCCCAGAGCCTTGCACATAGGACGTGCTGAAAACTTCATCAGCAGATAAACCACAAGTATTTCCCCCCACTTCTTTGACATCTGCAAGAACCCTACCCACAGAGGGGGAAAGCGTGGACTAGCGGGGACCGCGCTGCTCAGGACAGGCAAAAGGCCAGTTTGGCCAGGCCCTGGGATGGGAACAGTAACGCGGTCTCACTGACATCTTGGAAGCCTTCATCCTAGTCTGAGCCATGGGAGCAAGATGTGGATAATCGGCCGCCAAGTTCTAGATGTGGGCGGTTCCCGGTGGGGGGGCTGCCCTGTGAGGCAGTGTGTGCCGATCTAGGCCTTGAGATGGAGGCCGTGTCCTTCTCTCCCTGCCTGCCACACATCTCACGCCCATTTGATCTTCCTTCCCAGGGTCCTTTCCTATGAAGCTGGCTGCAAAGGAGAGCCATCTGTGGGCACTGGCTGGGTCAGGGATGAAGTCACAAGGGGGAGCTCACTCATCATGGACTCTCTGGGTAGAGCCCTTTCAGCCTGGGGCAAGCGTGGCCATTCACTAGGAAGCAAGAGGGTGGAGCTCGGCTGGATTCCCATCTCTGGAACCCAGAGTTCTCCCATGTGCGGGGAGCTGCCCACCCTCAGACAGATGGGGCACCTTCTCACTTTTTCAATGTGACCCCCGGCTCCCCTTGACCAAGGAATGCTTACTGGGGTCTGGTCCAGACAAGGAGGCAGACCGAGACGCAGCCAACGGTGGCATCCATGTCACCCTGTCTTCCCCACTACAGAGAGCCTTCTCCAAGGGACCGCCCCACCCACCTGCAGGTCCCTCACACTTGCCCAGAAAGACAGCTCCGACAGTGACACTCAGCTGGAGGCCACCCCCGGCCCCTCACTGATCCATCCAGAGAACAGGAGTTGACCAATTTCAGAAACCCAAGAGCTGTGGACTCCAGGAGGGTCATGGGCAGGATGGCCGAGAGCAATTGCCCAGGGGTGGGGCATCGACTCCAATTTTCCATTTTGAGGGAGTCACCTCTCAATTTAATACGATGCTTATGCTCAGGACAGGAGTATCTCTGCCCTTCCCCTCTCTTGACACTTTATTTACATGCCGCAAGTCCCCCTCAGAACCGGGTCCCCCTCGTGCCTCCTATCCAAGCTGAATCTGATCCTGTCTGCTGTCTCCCTGGTGCCAGAGCCAGCCTCTCACTCATCAGCCTCTGAGTTTCCTCCCACCTCATCCTGCACATCGGATCCCCATCAAGTTCCCACAGATTCCTTCCCTGCAACGTCTCCAGAACCCCACCATCTCCTTTGGTCCCGTCGCTATCACTTCTGGGTTCGTATCCTCCCAGCTCCTTCCCGGACAGCCTCGCCCGGCCTCCCCTGGTCACAATTCTCCTCCACACCACAGCTGGAGGCGTCTTTCCAAAGCCCCAGTCAGGCCATGCCTCCCTTGCTCTGACCCTTTCCTGGACCCCCACTGACTGTGGAGGTTGACAGGGAAGGCTCCTGCCCTTGGCCCACCAGGCCCTGTGGGACCCTGACTCCCACCCCCACGTCTGCCCTGCACCTGGGCCACAGCAGACCACAGGCGCTTTCCCAAACCACCATGTATTTCATGCTCCCAGTCTGCTCTTCCTTCCATTTGTAATCCCTTTCTACCTTCATAATGCACATAAATCTTAGCCGTCCTTCAAAAATCAAGGTCTCTCCTAAACAGACATTTCTCCAGTGAAGACATACAGATGCCAACAGGCACATGAAATGATGCTCAGTATTGCTAATATCAGAGAAGTGCAAATCAAAACTACACTAAGAATGGCCATCATTAAAAAGTCCGTAAACCATCACTGCTGGAGAGGGCGTGGAGAAAAGGGAACACTGCTGGTAGGAATGTGGACTGGTGCTGCCACTAAGGAAAACAGTATGGAGGTTCCTCAAAGAATTAAAACTAGACTTACCATATGATCCAGCAAGCCCACCCCTGGGTAATATCTAGAGAAAA